CTCCCCCTGCGCCCCCCCCCCCCCCCCGCCGGCTCCCCCTGCCCAGCCCCAGCTTTCCTGTGCTTACCGGGTTGGAGCTGCGGGTTTTAAAAATAGAGCCCAAGATGGCAGCCATCTTAAAGGGGCAGCCTCCTTTAAAAAAAAAAATCTCAATTTTTTTTTTTTTTGCTCGCCAATTCTGTTCTGGGGGGCTTTTTTTTCTTGACAATTCTGGTGCAGCTCTTCACATTTTTTTCCGTCGCTGTTTGGGCTCTCTTATTAAATGGGTTGGCCTCCCCCGATTTAGACTGTTCAGTCTGGGGCAGTCTTGCTGGCTCTGTACAGTACCTAGCACAATGGAGTCCTAATCTCAGTTCAGGCCTCTAGGCACTCCTGGTACACAAAAAAGTGAAACTGACAAGACTGGCTGTACCACACTTCAGTGACATGCAGACAGCATCAATGGGGAGAAATAACTGAGACCTGAAGATCTTTCAGGCTCCCTTTAAAATAACACAACTGCCACTAGAAAGTCAGCGCTGGCCAACCCTCCACACTGCTGACACCATCCAGGAGGGTACAGCATACCAAGGCAAGGAGACTGATGGGAATCACTTGTTTTGTTTAATGGCAACAACACTCTAGGCATTTTAGGCTGACTGTCCCTTAAGCCCCAACCATGTCATTTCACCACTACGTGGCTATGTCCCCCAGTATTTACAGACAACACTGCCCTTCCCAAAGAGCCCTGGATTTACGTATCGTTCATGGTAACACACAGATTCCTCCATGTGAAGGCTAAACTGCAGCAAACAGTACAGCACGGACATTCCTGTTTCTGGTTCTTTCACAATGGCCTGGAAGATACTGTTCTGATGCGGCATCTCAGCCACTGTAGCCCCTTGTGTAAGTTCTCTGTCAATCTCTTTGGGCAGGAATAAGAACATAAGAATAGCCATACTGGGTAAGATCAAAGGTCCATCTAGCCCAGTATCCTGTCATCCAACAGTGGCCAATACCAGATGCCCCAGAGGGAGGGATCACAACAGGTAATCCTCAAGTGATCTCTCTCCTGTCCCCCATTTCAAGACAAACAGAGGCTAAGGACACCATTCCTACCCATTCTGGCGAATAGCCATTGATGGACTTAACCTCCATGAATCTATTAGCTCTTTTTGGATCCCTGTTAAAGTTTTAGTCTTCACAACATCCTCTGGCAAGGAGTTCCACAAGTTGACTGTGCGCTGAGTGAAGAAAAACTTCCTTTTGTTTGTTTAAACCTGCTGCCTATTCATTTCATTTGGTGACCCTTAGTTCTTATATTGTGGGAATAAGTAAATAACTTTTCTGTATTCACTTTTGTCATGCCAGTCATGATTTTATAGACCTCTAGCATATCCCCCCCTTAGTCTCTTCTTTTCTAAGATGAAAAATCCAAGTTTTATTACTCTCTCGTCATATGGGACCCGTTCCAAACCCCTAGTCATTTTTGTTGCACTTTTCTAAACCTTTTCCAACGCACCCCCATCCTAGGTCTTTTTCCGCCTGGTGTTCTCCCACCAACTTTCCCTTTCAATGCCTGTAAACATGCATTGCCTTCAGCACCTCTTCCAAATATCCCACAAATTAAATCTTTCTTTAGATAAGATAGTCAGCT